GCTTGTGCGAGGTTAAACTTGTGCTAGTCATTTGGGCGAAAATCTTGATGTTTTGGTACAAACACGAATGTGACTTTGGATTCAAATATTCTTGAGTTTACAACTTGGATTGTTTCAGCATGTTTTTAAAAAACACACACGTATTGGAAGAGGACACATGCATTGTGTACCGCGATTGGGAAATACCAAACTCGCACTTGCTTTGTTTGTCGTCCAGAAAGAGAGCAACAAAGGGACTTGAGCAAGTCTATTGCCACATCACTGTTATTATTTCCCCTTATGATGACATGCTAATAGCATACGTCAGCGCTCAGCGCTCAGGGATATGGCATGTTGCAATCTATTTTGGGCTTCCGTTCAGTTCCTCCTTGGACACCAACAAGAGAAGACGACCATCCCAGAATGTGCTTGCGTGATTGTCAAACGATTTCAGTAGAATTGGAAGGTAAAAAAATATGTTCACTGTAGTAGAATACAGCACCAATCTGTATTGATGTTGGGGATATTCTTTTATATTCAAACTTAGAATCAAGAAAAATAAAGCTTTTTTTAAAAATAAAAAAATATATAAATCAATGTAAAATGTATTCTATGCTGATTTTTTTTCTTTTTCTAAGCTTCCTTTTCTATGCTTCCTTTTCTATCCCTTGTTTTTGTGTGTAGGCCTCGCCCTGAGTGGCTCTGCATAGGGCCTTGTGTGTGATGGTCGATTTTCATATTAAAAAAAAGGAATTGAAAAAAATAATGAACTAAAAATTTGTGTGAAATTGCAGGTTGCCTTTCCCTGACTTGTGCAATTTCTTCCCAAAATTGCTGAATAACCTACATTTTAAAAATCCTGTTTCAATTTCATCATGGGATGTAACCATGGTAGAACTGCCTGGAACTATGTACAATATGTTACAACATTCTGTTGAAAATACATGTACCAGTATATGATGTTACTTTGAGGATTTCCTTTGTGTGTGATTCCATTTCATTAATGTTAGGCAAATTCTAGCCTTATGTCGGCACGTTTGACATTGTCCCCTAGTTGGCCACTAGGCTCATGGTAAAAACAAGTATGGCCTTGTGATGGGCGTTTCTCATTTTAAAAAAAACGGGGAAAAAAAAGAAACAAAATGTTGTATACAATTGCAGGTTTGCCTTAATTTCACTGACTTGTGCAATTTCTTTCTGAAATTGCTGAACAAACTGATTTTAAGAAAATCCTGTTTCAGTTTCATCATCGGATGCAACCATGGTAAAACTGCCAGGAACTACATGTATGTGCAATATGTCACAAAATTCTTTTGAAATCGTACAATGTACATGTTTTTTTGACGATTTGCTTTGTGTGGGATTGTATTTCATGAACGTTACGCAAATTCCAGCCTTGCATTGGCACGTTTGACATCGTCCGCTAGTTGGCCACAGACACGCAGTGACTTATAAACTACATACAGTACATGTACTATGTATCGGTATGTATTTTCAGGTTTGTAACCAAACCTTGTCGTTACGTAAGTGACCAGAATTAATCTGTGTTCAATGTCATCCTATACATTAAATCCAGCGGCCTTAATTTGTGCTTGTCTGACCATCATTGAGATTGCGTGATGTGGTCACCGTCCCTGAGATGGCCTCAGTTATTTACTTTCACATTGTCGGCAAATTGGAGTCCGACTGCGTGTGTACTTCACAATATTGATTAAAGTGAACTGGATAGTGTGAGTGCGATCAATGTCGTCACGTCGAGGTAACAGTGAAGTGCAGTGACCATCACCGAGTTCAATACTGTTCAGTCGATCGGTTTGCCGACACGTTCGGCTTTGTCTATCAGATGCCTACGTTTTCTTCGCTTTGTTAGTTGACTTGACGTCCCATTGTGGAGCTGATCTAGACCCCGTTCCCACTTGATCCACCAATTGGGGGATCTGATCCACCTTTTGGCAAATTGCCGGATCAGATCCCCCAATTGGTGGATCAGATCCGGCAATTGTGTGTAGTGGGAACGCTAACCGTTATAAGGTGGATCAGGATCAGATCCACCTTTTCTGATCCACCTCTGGACCAGGATACAGATCCCCCAATTGGTGGATCAGATCCGGCAATTGCCGGATCACGATCAGATGGGAACGCAAAAGGTGGATCTGATCCGGCAATTTGACCTGTTAACATCCGCCCGGTGCACGAGTGGCGCGAAAATGTTGCGGTCTCATGAACGAAGAAACACGTTTTCAGGCGTGTAGCTCATGTGAACATTTCCAGCGTATACAACATACACAATAAACAACCGCTGAACTACGGGCTAGCACCGCGCATGCAAAAGCGCACGCGGTATCCTAAACTACACACTATAGGCCTTATTTTTGTTGCGTGTTCGTCCATTACTAAACCTTTTTCATTCCTGAAATTTTACTTATTTTTCCATCCATAAATGACTCTGAGTCCGCACTCACCAAAAGACTTCACTTTGGCACAGAATCATGGAAAAGCTTACGAGTATGCGATGAGAATAGTGCCGATAACGCGGTACGTACGGAGGTGACAAATCTGAAGTATTGATTACAGAAAATTGGAAATTGATGTCGTTGTACATCTTGTGACCGTTTCTAACCAATGAGAAGCTTCAGAACCAGGGAATCCCTTATCGATGCATTGGTTTCTGCCGTGATGTCACACAATGAGCGGCTTTGTTGGATTTCACCTGTTAATTTATGCACGCACGGATCCTCTACGGATCCGTGATTTATGTAGGTGAATTCGCGTAATTTTTGTCGGTGAATTCTGATAGTGCTATTTGAAAGCTGACCCATCATGGCCTAGCATGCAACCATGCAACAATGGCACTCCCACAGAGCGCGCGTAATTCCGAACTCAGTGACCTTTCGGACCCAACATTTCCGTACGAAAAGGTGGATCAAGCATAAGTGGAAACGCGACTTGCGGTTTCGTTGCGGTAAGATAACGATCACACCAAAATGCTGGATCTTGATCCACCTTTTTCCAATTCAAGTGGGAACGCGGTGCTAGTCTCAATGTGCTCTTGTTTGTCTAGAGTAGGTTTTCTTGCTGTATGGTCAATGCCATTTTTCAATCCATAGTGACCTTAAACAATAAACATGCTTAAGCCATTTGCAAACATACATTCCGTGCCAAGTAGTCCTTGCAGTCAAAACCAATCAAGTGATGGTTTTCAGCAGTTAAGAATTCCTAGCCTACATGAAGCAGGACTGACTGGCTGTTGAGTAGCTTGATGTAGCTTTGCTTTGACTGTGGGTGATTGATAAGCCAGCTGTGCGCACAACTTGCCTGCTTTGTCTGTTCATGGTCTGTTGACTGAGTTTGACTGGTCCCATGTGCTTGCTTGACATATGATCTGACTGCTGGTGACTAGCCTGTGTTAAAAGTAAAGCAAGGGAAGTGAATGGAGATTTTGACTGTCTGTGACTGTTTATACAGCAGGAGGGTATTATGATGCATGTGTAGTGGATTGCAACATGAAAGGATAAATGACATCATATATTGATGAATAGAACATGTGTTCAACAGAATAAGATATTTGCTTGTACAATGTACATGTACCGTACCGGTACGTCTTGCACTACACTTGGATGGGTAATTTTGAAGTCAAGAGGTTAGACCCTATATTTTTATTTCATCGATATTACAAGACTCTTACGTGTACCTTATGTTTGTCCCAATTCTAAACGAAATCTACATGAGGGTAGAAAAGAAATGTATTAATTCACCGACAGCCAGATGTTATGCTAATTTAGGATGATCATTATTAGGCTATACAAGACATGTACTGGTAGGCGCTTGCTAGAATGAATAACAATTTCAAGAACACTACATTGTACCTGTGGACTACATGTATTTTAGACTCATTATTATAATACAATCATTCACTGAGTGGTGGGGCATTTGTTAGGGGTTTTCAGTTTTCTGACCAGCTTCTTTGTGCTAGTCAAATCCTGGAAGAAGGAATCCACCTCACCGACCACAAAAATGTTTGTTGTTTATCAACTGGGATTAACAGCACAATAACCTGTCCATGAAAAGAACAGTGTTCCTTGTTGTGTGTTGCATGCTCTCCTTGGAAAACATCTAAACTGGGGATGACCTCGCTGGCTTGGTATAGATTGGACATGTAGGACTAAAGCATTGTGGTCGGATTAGTTTTAATCCTGTCCACAATCCACATGAAGATGTTTACTTTGTCCTTGTTGGGCCTATGTACCTGAATGTAGATCAATATTCAAAGCATGGACCAACTGGGAGGCCTTTGTGTTGTGCCATTGAAGGAACAAGTGGCTATAAATAGGTGTGCACTACTGCCTAGAAGTTTCTCCTGGCATGGGGGTCTGTTGCATCAGCTTGTGTTGTTGGCAGAGGCTGTGTGGGCCAGGGAGAGTGATGATGTGGTCTCGGTGGTGTTGACAAACTTGCATATTGTGTTGGAGACGTTTATCAATAGTCCTGGAATCTGCTGTGCATATTTCTAAATGTCCTGTTTTGATATGACTCTTTTAGAAATACAAGGCACGCTTAAGAACAATTCATAGTTGGCATGAAAGGGAATGTAAGTTGTCTTGGCCAGTATTTTTTCCCTGTAAATTCCCAAATGTTGAACGTATTTCAACTTGCGCAAAATTGGAGAAGAATCTGTCAAATGCGAATTCACTTCGCAGAAATTTGCAAATTTGCATTATTAATGTAAATTATGAACCTACAAAAGGTTGTGTCCGTGTTTTTTGTGGCCTTTAAGTATTTTTGTGAATTCTGTATCTGAAAGTAAAGCAAGCCGGGAATTGTAAGCAATTTGACAGGACTAGTAAATTTTAGCAAATTGTTAAAAACTGCAATTTAATCAGTACATGTATGTACTTATTCACATAAACATGTGCTCACTTGGTCTTTCTATCGCTTAAAAGAAATGTGTTTTTGTGTTGAACTTCATTTGTTGTGATTAGGGAGAATTGTTGACGTTTTTGTTGTTGTTTATTTTTATATAGGCTATGCCAGGACCAGCGAAGGCTCACACGAAAGGAAACCAGGAGATGAACCCACTACAGAGTGCATTTACTGTGAGTAGTCCTGGGGACTGTTTACAACGAGAATTAGCTAGCTGAATCAATTCCCTTAATTTCCTCCAAATTAGAAACAGTTATTCAAACTGTCCAAGAAATCTTACTGTGTAAGTCTTCCCATGTAAATGGTCGTAGCTGTGTTACGCAGGAACTGAAGCTCCAAGGCCCCAACTATAGTTGGGACTGCTCCAACTATAGTTGGAACTGTGAATGTTCCAACTATAGTTTGGACATTCCCAACCTGTTGGGACAGGCCCATCTAGAGTTGGGACAGGCCCATCTAGAGTTGGGACAGGCCCATCTCGAGTTGGGACAGGCCCAACTAGAGTTGGGACAGGCCCATCTAGAGTTGGGACAGGCCCGACTAGAGTTGGGACAGGCCCGACTAGAGTTGGGACAGGCCCATCTAGAGTTGGGACAGGCCCATCTAGAGTTGGGACAGGCCCATCTAGGGTTGGGACAGGCCCCGACTAGAGTTGGGACCATGTTGTAGTTGAGGTGTAACAACAATTCAAAATTGTCCAGTTTGCAAAGCCAGAAAATATTCATTTTGCTTGAGTCTCATGATCACCTTGCCCCCCCCCCCCCCAAAATGGAAATAGGTTTTAATCCCTAAAACCAATAAGTGGACTAAATCGGGCCCTTTGTGTAGCCGGATGCTTGATAAGACTTCCATTGAATAGCCATTCTGATTTCTGAGTCAATTGAATATAATTGACCTATCACGCTAGAATCGCGTCAACGCAGCTTGTGAAATATTATCCAATTACATGATATACAAAATGGACGCGGAACTCGCAAAATCTGAGACAAACAAAAAAAGTCAGTGTACAAAAATTCCATAGGGTTGTCTTAGGGGAGTGGCTAACTAGCAAACGGCGATAGGTCAATTGTGTGCACTCTGCAGGCATGCAACTTTTCCTCGGATCAGCTGATATCCTCTTTTTTTTACTTCCCATGTGTGCCATTGAAAATAGAAAAACACTGTACAAAGTCTGGGAAAAATTTGAATTTCCTCTTTTTTTGTGATTTCCCAGTTGCATGCCTGACTCTGGGACCAGCTCTTTTTGGTTTTGTATTTTGTTGAGCAGATTTCTTTGTTGAGCATTAAATTGAAATCTTGACGTACTTTGTCTTTTTGGCCAACTAGTTCAAGACATCCAGCACTCCAATGGATGACAACTATCAGGCCGTGTCGGGGCGGATAGCCTCCCTGCCCATGGACATCAAGCAGACGTCGACGTCTTGCCATCACGACGCCAACCTCATCAACAACAACTTGCCTGTCATCCTCAGCAACGTCATCGGTAAGTGTAGAGCCCAAAGTCCCTTTAAGGCACATGGGAACATCGGTAATAGGTCTCTCTCAAATGACTCAATATTCTCCTGACATCAAAAAAAAAAGTTGTACAGAAAATATTTAGGTCTCTCTCAAATGACTCAACATTCTCCTGACATAAAAAAAAAGTTGTACAGAAAATATCGGTGTGTCGTGTTGGTATGGTGTGGGAATTTTAGATTGTACGACAGATGGTTTGATGAGTCATCGTCTTTTTCCTGAGAAATATCAGATGATTTATGCTTTTTATCAACTGACACTGTTTACTGTTTAGTTCGGGAAGTTTCCAGCCTCGTTTGGTGGTTGTTAAAAATAATCAGTTGGTGATTTTTTGCACTAGAGGGCAGCAGACATAAAAATCAGGGCCAAATTTCCTGAAGCTGTTAAGCCGAGAGTAAGGCTGTGTCTGTATTAGTTGACTGCGGCTTGAAATTACACACGAGTCTACGGGAAGCGGCTATGACTTGAAATTACACACAAGTCTATGGGAAGCGGCTATGACTTGACATTACACAAGAGTCTTTGAGAAGCGGCTATGGCTTGAAATTACACACGAGTCTATGGGAAGCGGCTATGGCTTGAAATTACACACGAGTCTATGGGAAGCGGCTATGGCTTGAAATTACACACGAGTCTAAGAGAAGCGGCTATAGCTTGAAATTACACACGAGTCTATGGGAAGCGGCTATGGCTTGAAAATACACACGAGTCTATGGGAAGCGGCTGCCATAGACTCGTGTGTAATTTCTAGCTATAGCCAAGTAATTTAGGACACAGCCTTAACCTGCTTAACCAATTTATATGCTGAGCAAAAATCAGCGGGGAACCAGTTGTACAGAATATGCTTTGAATGCTTTGTTGGTTGGTAACCTATTTTTGTTTAGCACATTATGCACTGTTCTTAGCATATTCCTTTGCTCACCGGCTTCAAAATTAGATTGGCCAAAAAACCTTACTTTTTCTTCGGTTTTTTGTTTGTTTTGTGTGTTCATGGAAGAATTGCTAGACACATGCGGCTAAGTATTATGATGTTTATTTTTAAATACTGCCATTTGCCCCGGGCGAAATTCCCTCCTGCGGGAGAGTTATTGAAACCCGCACTGTACAGTTGGAAGAAATGGATACATTTGAACTGTGTTTTCATATAAAACTGAAAAGGTTATTCATGAATGTGTAAGACTAGATATCGAGATGGATTTTCAGTGGGGGGGGGGGACCTACTGATGATAAAAGGCTTGTCGAGGCTTGAATGCGCCAACGAATGGCAATTTGTGGATCTATAAAAAAATCGCTGAGCCCTTTTTAATTTGGATGTTTGGTTAGTCTATAGGATGGCAGTGTGTTGCTGGTCAAATTGTCAGATTGGCTGCTCCGATTGTTCAGGTTTCTTTTTTCTTCGTTTTTTTTGGATGTGGGTGGGTTGATATATTTACAGTGCGTTCAGTGCAAGAATCGCAGAGCCCACTCTTTCGAGATGGCGGCCGGTCGTTACATGAAGCGGTGTTCATAGAGATGGCATTCGGATGAGATTTTTTTTCGACACCAAAAATGAAATATCAACGTAATCCTCGATTAAAATATCCGGCATAAAAAAGTCTCTCCGTTAGTAAGAGTGCAGTTGTTACTTTCGGTGTTTGACATCGACGACATGGATGCCGTTTTCCGCTCTCGTAAACCGCCGACTTTGGTGTTCACCTCCTTCATAGATTCCACGGAGAGTCAGCTGGCCCAGATGTCGCTCTCGTCGTCCACGGACGAGGTCAACCAGACGGTACTCGGCTTGGACGGTAACCAGAACAACAACCGACGACGGAGGAAGAAGAAAAGACGGTCTCCTGTGGGACCTAGTAAATTTGAAGGTAAAATTCTCTACCCGTTGTCACCCTAAAAAAGAAAAACGACTGAGCACGGTGTTTTCCTAATCTGGGCTTTGTTGTTGGCCTTTGCTTCAAACTGCAGTTCTATTATTTTTCAGTGTCTGACATGGGCAATTCCAGTGTTGTATGAAAGAAAATGTAATGAACTTGACCGGGCCAATTAAACCATGGTTAATAATGATTCAGAGAAATTATCACAATCTCCTAGTCTGTAATCTCCTTGACCAAACTAGATACGATAGATACATGAGATTTGAAAATTTATGCACTGAGCTTTTGTAAATACAAAAACATGTTTTGTGATGTATTTGAGGCTTGAATTCCCCTAATGAAAAACATGCTCAGTATTGGACACATTGTCTACCACCAGGTATCATATCGTCAAAATATGTTAAGGCCAAGTAAAAGATTGCATGCATTAGGTTCGAGAATTAAAGGTTCCTAAATTATTTTGGAATAAGAAACAAACCCAAACCCTTGATTTTTTTTCCCTAGCTAGACAATGTTAAACAGAAATTTCAGAAAGGTTCTAAGCATTTCGGTGCTGAATATGGGTTTTTATTGGAAAGGGATTTTGTTTTTAAGATGAATGCATTAAGTATTAAATTCTCAATAAGCTAAAATAAAGTTGTTCAAGAAAAATGTAACAACAAAAACTTTCATCTGTAAATGATGAATATTTAAGGGGAAAAAAAATTTGTTTTAGAAAAATCGATAGCCCCCTTTACCGAAAAATACAATTAAGAAAATTAAGACACATGGATTGAATTTATTCCAAAGTCGGCTCAGTCTTATTCAATCTGTCTTTTTTTAGAAATTTGACGCACAAAAAAACTAGCGGAAATTTAATACCTTTGCATAAACAAGTTGAATGGAGAGTTGCCGACCTCGGGATAATAGACCGGTACCGCTGACATTTTCATCACTGGTAACCTGACTCGTTTAATGCTGCATCGGTCCATAACACCCCCTAGTTTGTTTGAGCGCTTGATAAATTGTGTGGCTCATGCCACGCAACTGCGGTGCGTGCTCTGAATAGGAAAACTGATCAGTTCGGTTGTTTGCACGGCATTAGAAGAAGAAAAAACCCTGACATTTACTTGCTAGAATTCGATATCTGGATGTGTTTGCAGTGTGGAGCGAGATTTAATTTTGGCGCAGATTGTCCAGTCTGGCACTGATTTATGTAATTTTACGCAGAAAGCAAAACAAGTGAAATTAATCGTTCAATAAATCTAAAAAAAAAAATTGCAAAATTATTGCTCAGAAATAATTGATCAAATTCTTTGAATTATTCAATCCTAACAAGTCTCCTGGAAAATCATGTGAAATTTTAAAATTATCAACTGATTTTTTGTTATAAGAATAAAAACCACTTTATTTAATTGTAATAATTTCTTTTTCCAGATGTCTACCTCATGACAGATGAAGTACTAGGGACAGGGGCCTATGCGTCAGTCATAACCTGCACCCATATACCATCAGGGAAAAACTATGCTGTTAAGGTGAGTAGATTAATCAACTAGTTAGCTTCCAAGCAGATTGATTAAATAGTTAGTTTCCAAGCAGATTGATCAACTAGTTAGCTTTCAAGCAGATTGATTAACTAGATAGCTTGTAAGTGGATTAATTATTTAGTTAGCATCTAAGCAGTTTAATTAACTACTTTACTTCCAAGCAGATTGATCAACTTGTTAGTTTCCAAGCAGATTGATTAACTAGAAGCGTTTTAGCAGATTAAGTCACCAGTTAACTTCTTAACAGATAAATTAACTAGTTAACTTCTAAGCAGATGAATTAACGAGTTAGCTTCCAAGCATATTGATCAACTAGTTAGCTTCCAAGACATTCATTAACTAGTTAGCTTCCAAGCAGATTGATTAACTAGATAGCTTCCAATCGGATTGATTAACTGGTTAGCTTCCAAGCAGATTGATTAACTAGAAAACCTCCAAGCAGATTAATTAACTAGTTAGCGTCCAAGCAGATTGATTAAGTAATTAGCTTCCAAGCAGACTAATGAACTAGTAAAGTTGAAGTTTGCCAAAAGAAAAAACCATGTTTTACAGTTTTGATTTAACAGTCTGGTTTGACCAAAACAAATCAAAGTCACTGGTTTGCTTTTGTGTTGTAATCTGTCAGTTGTTATTTGTTGACATAAAGGGAACTTTGGTTCAGCGATGGTGGGAACAGAGCCCTCAAAGTGTCAATAAAGGATTGTCTGGTTATCATATCTTGATCAAAGCTTTCATTTCATATCAAAGTCACTGTACTCGTGTCTTCAGAATTTGCACTGATATTTACCTTAATATGATCAGTAAATATAACTTGATGGATTGAGATTTCAAAAAAGAAATGTCTTTGATGTGCATTTTTTATTATTGAAAATAAAAGAATGATTTTGTGGTTTTATATTTTGATGTGTGTGAAATCATTCCATTCAAACATGGTCTCTTTTTGCTTGTTACTGGGTATGTCTTTAAAAAAAAAATTTTTAAGGCCAAAAAAAAAAGGTCTCCGGTTTCTGGTATGGAGCTTGCCCAAAAAGTGATGCGGCGACGCGGCTTTTTTTTTTTGTTTAGCTGACTTTTTTGCTTCATATGTGTGCCGATGACTGCAAACGGTGTCCGACTAAACTTAGTGCAAATATATGGGAGTCCAGAGAGGCCACATAAAGCTTATTCTCGACCATAACCCAATCTAAAAACACGTTAAAATTGTGCAGCAGCAGTATTCCAGTCAAACCAGTGAGTTTGGCGGTTTTGGGACATCATCTTTCATTAAAAAAAAAACGTTTTCATTTTGCCGACGCGCATGGCTACGGCGACGCGCGCGCATACCAGAAACCGGAGACTTTTTTTTTTTGGCCTAATAAATGAATTATTTATAAGTAACTAGATATATGTTTGTGGACAAACACATGGTTTTTTTTTTGGCATTTTGTTATTGTATGTTTATGTCATGTTATAGACAGATAGAACAAACACATGCAGTAGAAAAATGCAGAGTGATCAGGACCAATAGTTATGTGGGCATAGGCCTTAGAAAAGGTTGAAGAGGTTGAATAACAAAAATGAAAGACTAAGAGAAATGCATTGAGAATGAAAACAAACAATTCACACAATTTAGAGGCATGCCTCTGACTTATTGTCAAATAAGATACTTTAATTTGTTGGAGATCAGTACAAAAATGATAATTTTTGTCTGATTTTTCTTTTGCATAGATGATCAGGAAGAGACCGGGTAACAGCCGATCCAAGGTCTTCAGGGAAGTGGAGACCCTATACCATTGCCAGGGACACAAGAACATACTGCAGCTCATTGAGTTCTTTGAAGATGACGAGAGGTAAATATACCTCACTTCTAGTACATTGTATTACATTGTATTTATTCCCTTAACCCTCCTATGCAAACTTACATTCTGGGCCAAGTACCCTAGTCCTTTCAGTCAAAATCAATCAAGTGGCTGTTTTCAACAGTTAAGAATTTCCAGCTGGCATAAAGCAAGATCGACTGGCTGTGACTGTCTAAGAAACTTGATACAGCTATGCTGTGACTCCGGGTGAGTGATAAAACAGCTGTGACCACAACTTGCCTGCTTTGTCTGTTGACCCAGTTTGACTAGTCACAGTGCTTGCTTGATATATGATCTGACTGCTGGTGACTAGCCTTTGTTAACGGTATAGCAGGGGAAGTGGAGGTGAATTTTGACTGTCTGTGACTGTTTGAGTAGCAGGAGGGTTAAGAATCCGTAAAACGGAGTGCTCGGGCAGCTTTGGGTAACACAAGGAGTAATAGGCAGGGCAAATTTGGGGCGGTACAGGGACTTTATGGGTTAATTCCACAGATCTAGCTTTTCTCTTCAAACAATCCCCACGAATCCTGAAACCATTTTTTTTTTGTCGTGCAGGTTTTATTTGGTGTTTGACAAGATGGAAGGCGGTGCCTTGCTACACCATATTGAACAGCGTCGGACCTTCACGGAGCAGGAGGCCAGCATGGTGGTGCGCGACATTGCCAGCGCCCTCACCTTCCTACATAACAAAGGTAACGTCATCATGAAATCTTCCCCAAGGCATTTTTTTGTTCTAAAAGAAACTGTCATTTGCCATTCAGCCTCAATCCTCAAAAAACCTCCAAACCCGCTTGAAAGATTTCGGAAGATTGAGGAAAGTTACGGTTAAAGGGAAAATACAACATTTGCAAACATCAAAAAAATAAAACTACCAAATCATTTTGAAATGCCTTGCTGGACTGTTAGTGAATGACAGTGTAAAACATCCTGTAAAATCATGGCACCTGGTATACTGTCATTTTCAAGAAAAGTGGTATTTTTGTATCAATTTCCAAGGCTGATCGGCCGACCAGCGTTGGAAAAAAACTGGCTTTTTTTCAAATACTGGCCCCAGTTGACCATCGCACTTGTTTGCAATCGATAACACACCTATGAACGGGTACAAGCCAGCTAGACTGGTTCCCTGACCTTCCAATTCCCCAATGTATGTACACTGCTCTGTTTCTTCTTAAATGGAGTCAGGGAACCAGACTACAGGAAAATGATTGTTTTTCTTGGTTTTTATAGCATTTTCGAACCCAAAACCTCAAAAAAGTCAGTGTAACTATATTTGCTATATATTTCCAACCCCCCACAACATAGGTGGCTAGTGTTAATGCACATTGGTGCATAAGTTTCGGCCCAAGCGCCATAAAAACAACACTCAAGGCAATATTCTACAATGGAAATTTACTGACTTAAACCGTTCCCGGATGTCAACATTACTTGTTTGCACAATGTGTTTATTTATAATGCTGGCATCTGAGGATAAACAGACAGGTCAACAAGATCAGACTAATTCAGTTATCAAAGGCTGAAGTCCGCCAACAGAAATACATATCACCTGATTCAGACGAACGCAAAGTCCAATACCCCCCCCCATGTTATGATTTTTTATCTGATTAGGAATATCAAGGTTGTTTGCACTGATGGGTGCATGTACCAATGGCCGTGCTTAATGTTGCTAAATGGAGTTAATGGGCCATTGTTGTACGTGTATTAATAAATGGGCACTGATTATATTGTCAAAAATAACAACAAAATTGTTATTTTTAAAAGTTCATGTCTGTGAGTTCTATTTGGGAAATTTTCTCTTTCAAAAATGTGTGCTTCCCTTTAGATACATGTACATGTATATATACTTCAACTCAATTCAGTTCAATTTGATTTTATTCATCATGCCAGCATTACCGTATTGCTCGGTTTGCACATAATTAAAAATACAATAAATTGAATATTAAAGCAGATGGTATACAGGTTAAAACATTCAATAAACTGAAAATTAATTTAATAATAGAAGTGTTACATACAATAAATACCAATGTAGGTAACATGTGTACATGTAAGCGTTTTATGTGACGTTTTACTGCACTATACAATTGTTCAGCCATTTACTTTTTTCGATTACATTAAAGTTGCATCAACAGAGGGTTACAATTATTCCATTTAAAATGTGTGTTTGTTCTGTATACCGTACTACCTTAAAAGCCATTTTGTTGGGGGGCAGAAAAAATTTACCCGAATCAAGGTAATTTTTGTCAGTGTATGAACAAGGAGTACACATGATCAAGGTATGACATTGATATCTACCTCAATCAAGGTGTTTTGTTGCATGTTCCCTGATCAAAATTAAAGAAACAATGTACCTCAAGCAAGGGAATTTTTGTCAGTGTGTGCAAACAAGGGTGCACATTAAGACGCTGATCAAGGTATAACATTGATATTTACATGGTGTACCTCAATGGAGGTGTTTTGGGGTAATGTGTGTAACATTGAAACGTCCCTGAATCGGTGTCATTTGTTTCACTTTCTACCCCGATCCAGGTATCGCCCATCGAGATCTCAAGCCAGAGAACATCCTGTGCGAGAGCAAGCATTCCATCTCACCGATTCAGATCTGTGATTTTGGCCTGGGCAGCGGCATTCACATGAACAGCAGATACAACACGCCACTCACCACCCCAGAACTACTCACACCGGTAAGCTCAATTGATCCAAATTCTTTAAGTTCTTTGTAGCCCTTTACCGTGATGGCAAAAAAAACCAACCGGACAAGGCAAGCCTGGTACAGTTTGTCCAAGAGTTAACAAAATTATATTCAACTGATTCAGAATGGCTGTTCAATTAAAGTATTTTAACTCTAACTCCCTAGGCGTTTTTGCTAGGGTGCAACCGCGATCCTGCAAAATCCTCCAACTGCCTCCAAGTAAAAATTGCATACAGCCTCGTTATTTCTTGAATGTGGTCCTTGGAGCAGAAACCACTGCCTCAATCCTGTAAAATCCTCCAGCAATCACTGTCAATATGTTCAGGCAGAGCCAGTGACATCCTGGAGCAGTGCCGAGGATTTCAAGTATAATATAATTTATGCACGGCTGAGCTTAAACAACACAAGGTCCGGCCTAAGACCTTGAAACAGTGCATCCTGCGAAATCAGCCACATATTTTGCCATATAGCCTCAATCCTGCAAAGTTCCCCATTAGGCAAAGAGGATTTGGGAAGGTTAGGGTTAACCCTAACCCACCTCACTCCTCCAAAATCCTCCTGGCGGTTTTGGAGGATTCTAGAGGATTGAGGATGAATGGTGATTGAAGCACATGAGGATTTTGGAGGATTGAGGATGAATGGTGAATGAAGCACAAGAGGATTTTGGAGGATTGAGGATGAATGCATTTTGAGGCAGGACTGAGGACTGTCTGATGATTTTGAACAATTTAGGCGGAGTTGAAAAATTTTGGAGGATTTTGGAGGATTGAGGATGGTTGTAAGCAACAAGGGCCTAGGGGGTTAGGGTTAATGAATCTGTTTACGGGGTAATCCTATATGATAGCACTGCCCAGCACTGTTCACCAGTTACAAGAGGGAGGCAGTCAGTCAGGGAGATAGGTACAACGGGGACACTAGGCTAGTCCTCTGTGACCAGGATAAAATTCATGAAACCTCCCAAACCTAGGAAATGGCAAATTTTATTTTGACCACTTTTTCTTCTTAAAAAAAACAGGTTGGTTCGGCCGAGTATATGGCTCCGGAAGTTGTGGATGCTTTCATTGACGACGACGAAGCCTCGGCCTACGACAAGCGGTGCGACTTGTGGAGTCTGGGCGTCATCCTGTACATCATGCTGAGCGGCCAGCCGCCGTTCGTCGGTAACTGCACGGAGGATTGCGGGTGGGACAACGGCGGCGCCTGTCAAGAATGCGAGGTAAGTTACTCCGTATCAATAGGGGCGTTGTAACAATGCATATTGGGATAACGCACATAAGAGAATCCATGGCAATTGAAATTTGAAAGTTTAATACATGTTACCTTACTTCGACATTTTTTGTAATCTTTAATTATTCATTCTTGAAAAGCTGAACAAAGAAGTTGAGTGGAGTTGAGTTTGAACCTGGAACCTCCGGATTGTCGTTCTGGTGCTCTACCAACTGAGTTGTCCAGCCCTAAGTTGGCAGTTCCCCATTTGTCAGTTTCTTTGTTGACAACATAGGGAACCACCACTCAGGGCAGGACAGCTCAGTTGGTAGAGCACCGGAACGGCAATCCAGAGGTCACAGGTTCAAACTCAACTAGGCAGAAGCCATAAACCCGTTGTAGCTAGGGATCACACTGAAAGTCACAATGCTTATTTTGGTGAATTTGTGGCTTGCCTCTCAGGATATGTTGCTGCACAGCATCCAGGCCGGCATCTACGACTTCGACGGCGCCGAGTGGGACACCATCTCCGACGACGCCAAGGACCTCATCTCCAACCTCCTGGTCCGCGACGCCAGCAAGCGCTACACGGCCGAGATGGTGCTCGGCCACCCCTGGATCCAGCGCGCCCCCATGACCCCCCTCCACACCCCCTCCATCATCAAGCGCAACAACTCGGCGAAGGACCTGTGCCAGTTTGCCGCCGAGGCGGTGCTGTGCAACCGCCTGGTGGCCCAGAAGGAGGAACAGGAGGAGGAGTTGTCGGAGTCCACGCCCACCAACGACTGGAACATGCGGCCCGCGTTGCCCTTTGGGTTATCGCCACCGGGCGAGTCGGCGCTTGCCAAACGCCGGGCAGCGTTGCACAGCAGCAGCAACGGCGGAGGTATCTGCATAACTGTCAACTCGGGTGGAACTTGACTTCCCTAAACCCACATCCCTTCCAATGTCGATAAAACTCCCAACCATTTTCCAAATATCACTTTCTTTGTAGCCTCGGCTTCATGACAACTTCCGGAATCATTTATTTTACAAATGGAAGCAAGCAGAAAATACTACAAAACTTTGGTTTTGAATTACACAGTTTGATCCTTCCAAAGCAGAAAAACAGAATGTACATTGAGTCGGGGCCTCATTCAGAAGCTCAAAATCATGAAGCCGAGGCAGTGAGTCAAACCCAGAAACGAAACGGAGGTTGGAGAAAACCATTCATTTGTATGCAACCCAGTCCAACAAAATAAGTCTAACAACTAACAAAAAAAACCAGTTGACGATTACAATCCCTTAAACATGAATCGCAGAACGACAGTTGTTTCGAATTTTGAAGATTTTTTAGCCAATTTATCAAAGTGTAGACCTCACTTATGCAATTTTTGTTTGAGAAAAAAAAAGACTCATTTTGTTGGACCTGGTTAGTTACTTTTTTGGTCATTTTTTTTGTTTTTGTTTTTTGGTGCTGCATTATTGATTCATTTGCAATACTTCTGTGGAAAAGACGCGTGTTGTGTTGTCGGTATGCTGGCGTGGTTACCAACTAAAAGTGCTGTGTTGAAATAATGGGAAAGTTTTGGCTGGTTGCCTGACCTTCAGGCTGAGGCCAGAAAGATTTGGCGAAAAATGCTGCAAAGGTCTAGCGGGGAAACGTTACCTGCAGGAGTTGTACATTTATGTAAATATTTTGAGACGTGAGTTGCTTGATAAGAAAGTGTACAGAACACGCGAGAGAAAGTTATTGAAAAAAAGCGTGATATTTTGCCGGCGGCTAACTTTATTTTCTCCATGAGAAAAGAACAAAAATGCCCCCTGCGTTGTCCCTCCTTTGTCCAGTTTTTCTTTTCCGATTTGCCCTATTTGTTATATTTTATTACAAGAACATCTTCCACCAAATTTGTACTTGCGGTTGTGTAAAAACAGAAAAAAGATTGTTTATTTATTGCATGCTTACTTTTTTAAACCAGAGTTTTGAAGAGTGACATTGCAGGAAAATGTTTTGAAGTTTGGCAGTATTTTGTACGAATTAGGTTGTTTTTTTAATGACTCAAATTTCTTTTCAGTAATAGCCTGAATTTGGCTCTTCGTTCATTTGAGAGTTTTCAACATAAAACACCTAACTGTGAAGTAGCTTGATCTACCTCAAAAAAGTGGTACCGTTTGGATTTTCTTTTTCGTAAATCTCTCTCGTTATCCTCAACTTGGTGTTTATGCAGTACCAGACAAATCTTGATTGTATATCATGTATATTGGCTAACCGTCCAAAGATAAAACAAAATGCCCCACTTTTAGGGGCACAAAAATGTTTTACAAACTTCCAAAATTAACCTAGTCGTGTGGTTTGCTCATCTGAATTCTATCGGTTCGCTTCGAGTTCAAGCCGATCATTATTTGGCTTTCAAAACCTGAGAGAAGTTGTATTTTCTGATCCAGTTTAAATAATCTGCTTTATATTTGAAAGGAACTAATTCAGTCACCATAGCAACTGTAATACAAGAGAACGTGTTCAGAAATTGTTTTTTTACAGCGTTGGGAAAAGACCTTTTGTTTCTGTAAATACTGTACATTTTTTGTTAAAATATGATCAGAGAACGGATGTTAATTTATGAAAAAGGTGCCTCCGTTCGCACTAAATTTTGGACGCCTGTTACGCCCTTTTTGTTAATACTTTCATAGTTCACCTATTTATATTGCGCGTTGTTGTCCACACTTGTCATTCATTTATACCGTTGGACTAAAAATTCCTTCCACCTAGATTTAATAAGAGAGTGGTTTAAAACAAGTGTATTTGAAACTTTGACTGTATTTGAAGCATAGAACTGCACTAATTGCAAGGATCTATGCTTCGTACTGTACATTGTTTCAAATTTCACACAAAATTTCATATTTTTTTCCCATAAAACTGGTTTATTGAAATATACCTTTTGATAATTTTTTTTTCTTTCTATTTTGTGAAAGCGGATATTTTTCAGCTATTTCGTATGACATCCATTCCTTTTGTCAAATTTATCATTTTTAAATCAATATTTTCAGACAAAAAAATTATTTCATTTTTTGCCAAAACGTCAGAAGTAGAGAAAAAGTTAAGTATTATGTTCCCATTTTTTTTATTTTGGAGTAGAAGTAAAATACAAGGGATTTTGAACCTTCAATTGTCATATTTTTTTGATTTTACAGATAATCTTTAAAGTATTATTGAAGAAATAAGATTTATTGTTAAAATACTGGTGAAGAATCGTTTTTTTGTGGGAGGGGGGTGTCACCAATTGCAAACAGGCAATTACAGTTTTTGGGGTTTTTTGATTTGTTTTTTTTTCTTCAAAATCTTTGATTATCCTTGCCTTGGTTGTTTACAAGAAAAATATGTGTTAATTATATTTTTTTTTGTTATTGACCATTTCTTTTTTACACAAATGTCCCCTTTTTTATTTAAGTTACAGTTTTCACTTTTTCAGAAGTCTGTTTTTAATTCATTTTTTTGTTACAGTTGTATTAATGCAAAATACCATACAAAATTTCAGACGTGTACAAAATTGAACTATTTTTCTATGTCCATCAGAACTTATTGTAGAGGTGTTAACATTTTGTGTACACAAAATGTACTTCTCTTAGAGTTCTTCTTCACAAACCTCTTTGGAATTTTGTATGGAATTTTGTTTGAAAGAAAAAGGAAACTTCTCATAAATTCTTTAATATGCAAGGAACAAAGAATTTCTGAGACTTTTCGGTCGTTATTTTATCAGAACTGCAGGAAGTTATCCGTAATTTAAAATAAAGTGCAATTGAATTACAAGTGTTGTGTTCTGAGTGTTAAGAGGTATAATTGAGTTTAAAGAATGTTTTAAGTAAATTGGAAGAAACTTAAGACAAGCCCATAGCCAGAATGAACAGTCCATATCCATACTGGCAAAATGAGTTAAGATTGCGCCCAATACTTCGATTAAAAATAGATTCTTCAGTTCAAAATAGATTCTTCAGTTAAAAATAGACCATTCAGTTAAAAATAGACCATTCAGTTAAAAATAGACCCACTGAAGTCTTTGTTGGGGGCTCTTATCTGAAAAATTGAAGTCATTGCTTTTTTTTGCAATTAAGAGATAAGAATGAAACAAAAATTGCTCTGGCTATGGGCTTGGGGTTGTGCAAGTAATGTTATAAAATATGACGTGATGACTATTGAAAAAATATTTACATACTTCTGAAGCATTGCTTTCCATTTCCACATAGACGCAAGTCAGCGACATGGGTCCTGGATCAAAATTAAAAGTAGTAGTAGAAAAAAATGCTGCTTATAAATTTTTGACCCAAGCAAATATCGACTGGGTACCAGTCCCATGCATTGACATCACATGACATCTTGGCTGGTAACCGTGTTTCTGTTGAGCGCATATTCAATTATCTTTGCGGTCTTAAGTGTATTCAGGGCTCAGTGAAATCGACAAAACCCTTATCGCTTAAAAAAACAAATCAAAGTTTTGTTTGTTCAAGGCATTTTGGCCACATGTCCTTTTTTCCTCTTTATGTGGAAATGGAGAGCGAGAGATTTATAAAACAAGGATTCCATGAAAACCCAGAAATGTCTGTTTCAGACACCTTTTCCAGACCGGTGTTCCAGAGTTGCGCCAAATTATTCCCCCAAAAATTAAAAATAAGTTGGACATCTAAAGCAGTAAGGAGCGACTACATGCAAAAGATCAATTGCTGCAGTTATTTTTAACCACTTCATGTCGGATGAGGTTTTGCGGTATTTGGAATGGATGACGGATAAACACGCAATGATCGAGGCCAGAAATATCTGTCTGTGACCCGCTTGCAGCGAGCGAGGCTGGAAATATCAGAGTGTGCTACCCGCAGATGATGGCCTGAACCCGTCTGGTATCGAGGTTCGTGAAAAACAACCCCATGCCTTGGTCCGGTCAATGTGAAAATAATCCCGGCGCGAACTGGTTAACTAACCAACAACTTCAGTCAATGGACAATAAGTACGTAAAGTTCGCACGTCTGAAACCGAATTCTGTTTTGGTTGAATCGAGTCCCTTAATGCATTCTGGTTTGGTTTAACTCTGGAAGGCCAATCCGAAATGGTTGTAAGCCACCAGTGTCAAAGACCGCGCTAGTGGCGGTCTTGGCTTTTGTGACATCCACGTAAATTCCAGGCCTGTTCCTGACCCATAGGGATCCATTGTTGTCGCCCAAAAACTGCAGGGTTACTGGTAGTTTTGGCAAAGGGAAGGGAGGCTAGCAGTTAAGGACTTGATTTCAGAAATGTCGGTAGTTGAAGCAAGCATGGGCATGAGAGACACTTGCAGGGTTTGATCTAAAAGCCTCCCTTTTCTTATTGCTGAAAACTGCACCTGCAGAAATAGACCCTTTGCATGTGATGTCCCATCTGAGGGCAGGTCTTCGGTTCCTCTGTGATAGGCATGAGAAGACAGTTTGTACTTTTCATTGTCACAGAATTGAAATAACAAAATCTGTCTTGAGTGAGGGCGCACCGTGCAATGGGTCTATACATGTACTTCCATAAGTAATGGTTGCATTGGACAAGTGGGCCATATTAAAGCCTTTCGGGGCTTTTATACATTTTGGGGGGTGGGGAGAGGGGGACAGTGGGGACAGTGGAGAGGGAAGGGGCACGGGAGGGGAGGGGAGGGGGACAGTGGGGGAGGGGTTACAGTTGGGGCGGGGGAGGGGTAGGGGTGGTGTAGAGGGTTCAGTAACTGACCAGACTTGTAGGTGATGGTTAGTCATATCATGTTTTGAGTACATAACATGTATGAGTGTTTGAGATAGGTCTGTATAAGATAGGTCTTGGGATGGGGTGGGTAGGGTAGGGTAGGGTAGGGTAGGGTGCCTTGGGGAGGGACAAGTTGGGCGGGGTAGATTTTTGTTTCTTGAGTTTTGGGGTGGGAGGGGAACATGGGGTTTGGTAGGGTGGTGGTGGGTGCTTTCGGGGTCGGGATGGATTAGGTGGGGTTTCGGGGGAGAGGTCAGGAAAATGTCTTCATGGGAAAGGGGGGTATACTTGTTGCTTGGGAAGTTTTAGGGAAAGTAGGGGAAATGCTAGGGAAAGCAGGGGATTTTCTGACATTTTCTGGCATGAGCCTTAAAACCTGGGCATTAAAGGGATTATATTGCAGACTATGTTTGATCTACAGAAAGTCAGGGAGTAACTCTTACACATGTACATATACTTGTGAACTGAAGAGCCTATTGCCATATAACCAAAATATTGGTTTAAAAATATGGGTTATACACTTCAGTGATGTATACATACTGAGAAGGGGTCCTTAACTGCTTTTGTGTAGATTTACATGTGCATGTACTGTATATTTTGTAGTCGAAAAAGATACGACATACACTGAAAGTTGCTGTAAGGGCTAAAATTGCTGTTTTCGTCATACAAAAAATTGGTTTGGTTCTTTGCTCAAATGGAAAGGCAAGAACACTTTTTTTTTGGGGGGGGGTTGTGGAACCATTTTGTTTTGTTTGGAGATTTGTTTAGTTGTTTTGTTTTGCCTTTTTGGGGGGGGGGATGTTCAACAGCAGTATTTCAAACCATTAACGACACTACACAAAAGTTACAGGGAATATAATTCAGATGTTTTTGATTTTTTTTTTTTTCAATGGTAATATTTGAAACAACGTTGTCACAAAAAAAGATTACAGGGCATGTAATTCCGAGTCGGATGGGATAGTTGGCAGCATTTCTTATTTGATCTTATTTTGACCCAACATGGGTATGGGGAAAACACTTTCATATACATGTATTTGATATGCTTTTCACAAACATATTGATGTGATTTGTAGTTATTCTTGGACTTGTTGATTTGGAGGTTCTATAGTTCTGCGGGTCAGGGCTGCCTTTTTTGATAGTTTTCCTAGTTGTACAAATACACAAAAAAATGTTACTGTATGAAATGTTATTTCTCGTGGGTTTTTGGTGATTATGTTTGCAATAATCTGACTGTTCAGAAATGCACTTGTTCCAGTTTGTTTTTATCAAACACCATTTGTTGATTTGGGCTAGCTGCTAAGCACATTATTTCTGCTTACTGAGCCTGTTTTTCTTTTCTTTCTACTATTGGCTTCGTGCACGAACAGAGAGGGCGCTATTTTGCCACTTCCAAGAGCCCATAGTGGGGTGCTGTGGTCCAATGGTTACGGTGTTCGACTCATGTGCCGTGGTACATGCGTTCGAATCCTGACCGTGGGAACATGGTGCTTGTGCTCTTGAGCAAGGCACTTTTACCATTATTGCTTCGTCCTTCGGATGGGACGTAAAGCCGTAGGTCCCGTGTGTGTTGTGTAATGCACGTTAAAGAACCCAGTAACACTTATCGCTAAGAGAAGGGCTTTGCCCCGGTGTTTCTGGCAGTGGCTGCAATATGCGCCGCAGCACCTTGTAAACCCTTATAAGGTGCTGCATAATGGGTCTCATTTTTCTCATATACTTTATTTACCTTTCTTTAATAATAGACATATCCCCAGCGCCTTGAGTACCTAATAGTTGGTAGATACGTGCACTATATGAGACTCCGATATTATTATTATTATGGATGGGACGCTACGCGAGCGTACTGGTTCGCACCCGTACAGCGCGAAGTTCACACAACTTACGTTATTCCGAAAGTGCACAAAAGCCAAAGCGTCTTCGCGCGAGCATCAGGCGTCATCGGCGATGCGTTCCAATGTCTCTCCCAGTGGTCTCCCCCAACTCTCCCTTTCTTACCGTTGAGGGGGTACTTGTGCACGGAGCCCACAGTCAGAACAATCTGCGTGCCGGACTACACGCAGATTGTGCCAGTACACCAGAGCGATGAAATTGGCCACCGTACTAAAAATGCCAATTGCTGATTGCCACGCATTTGACATGGATAATTCGTATGAGGTTTTAAATTGATTAAACCAATCAATTATTTACAGGTGTTTTTTTTTGGGGGGGGGATTGATGCTTAGTCTTGTATTTAAAGGGAATATACATCATTTGCTTTTGCTGTAATTGTCAGAAATGGATGAAATTGGGGGGTTGGAAATATATAGCAAATATAGTTACACTGACTTTTTTGAGGTTTTGGGTTCGAAAATGCTATAAAAACCAAGAAAACAATCATTTTCCTGTAGTCTGGTTCCCTGACTCCATTTAAGAAGAAACAGAGCAGTTTATGTACATTGGGGAATTGTAAGGTCAGGGAAACAGTCTAGCTGGCTTGTACCCGTTCATAGGTGTGTAATCGATTGCAAACAAGTGCGATGGTCAACTGGGGCCAGTATTTGAAAAAAAGCCAGTTTTTTCCAACGCTGATCGGCCGATCAGCGTTGGAAATTGATACAAAAATACCACTTTTCTTGAAAATGACAGTATACCAGGTGCCATGATTTTACAGGATGCTTTACACTGTCATTCACTAACAGTCCAGCAAGGTATTTCAAAATGATTTGGTAGTTTTATTTTTTGATGTTTGCAAATGTTGTATTTTCCCTTTAAACATTCACAAAGATTCATGGTTTTCAGTAATCTGAGTAACTAGGACTCTACGAATCACCTTTTTTAACATTTGAAATTTCAAAAAATTGACTGGCATCAGACAGACAAAATCACAGGGCACTTTTGGTCACCTGGATTTGTCGCCAAGGCGACCAATCAAAGTGCCCTGTGATTGGTCTGTCTGATGCCAGTCAATTTTTCCTGAATTCAACATGGCAGCCTCCAATAAGGCGTTTGTGACAAGGATGTTTCCCAAATTGAAGGTGAAATTTCTCTTTTCTTCCCAAAGGTATGTGCACATAACATCACTTCCCACTGAAGCCTACAGGGGCGCATCAGGCAGTTTGAGGACTGTTTTGGGGTCGAAATCTGAATATGTTGATAGGGAGTACGAGTGAAAATGGTCAAAATAGGTTATTGGTATCGCCATGTACTCTAAGATCCTTGGACCCTACTATCGCCGGACCATCTCCAAATGTTAAAAAAGGTGATTCGTAGAATCTTAGTTACTCGGACTAGGTTTTCAGCATCATATGCAAAGAATGTGACCCATGTTTAAAGAGGTTGTGGAATGCTCGAAGACATTTCCGTCATTTTTCGGGTATATGTAGCCTAAGGTGTGATGAAATAAAAACGACTATTGTTTCTGTCATGAAATGAGTACAAAAGGTACTTTTGAGAGCTGTTTTTCAGGTCCAGTTTTGACCCGAACGTGCAACTGTGTAAAAGTCGTCGTTGCGGGCAGCAAACAAAACACAGTAAATCGTGACGTAATAAACAGGACTCCCGATGCACAGTAGCATACACGAGTCCTGTTTATTACGTCACGATTTACTGTGTTTTGTTTGCTGCCCGCAACGACGACTTTTACACAGTTGCACGTTCGGGTCGAAACTGGACCTGAAAAACAGCTCTCAAAAGTACCTTTTGTACTCATTTCATGACAGAAACAATAGTCGTTTTTATTTCATCACACCTTAGGCTACATATACCCGAAAAATGACGGAAATGTCTTCGAGCATTCCACAACCTCTTTAAATAAATTAATTTAAAGACCCTTCTCCATTACATATGCTTTAAGAAACAATAGGTATCTTCACTCAAATATCCCCCCTTTTTTTTCACTGGGTGTACTTTTCATATTGATGTACTTGTCATATTGTGTTCCATGAATTAATGTGCAGAAAACATTGTTCAAGAAATACCTTAGCTCGCTTGCAGGCATTTTGAAAACCGTTATTTTGTCACATCATTACAATTTCTTAAATGTTTCTCGGTAAACAACTTTTGCCAGTCATGTTCATGTTTGCATGACAACTGTTTGATTTGTTTTTCTCCCCATGATGTTGTCACTTTGGTAATTATTTCCTGTCACATCAAATGTTGATTCAAAACCATAGTTTATTACAATACAAGTCACGTTTGATGCTTATGCAAGGTCGCAGAATAAAGACACTTTTTTGTAGACACCGGATCTTTTGTAGTGTTTCGATTGTCCAATTTATTTTGGTCTCCATAATCTGCAAATGTTAATCCAAATATAGTTTAAAATGTTTGGATATATATAATTTTTATGAAACATAATTCACACTGCAGACTTTATTTGTTTCCATCTTTCTTTTAGGGGTAGTTCAAATAAAATATCCAGAGCAAATGAGCGATAATCCGTAGCTGTACTGGAACCACACCAGGCACGTAAGATAATTCGCAGTGTCATGGCCTAGCGGTTAAGAGCACCGAACTCATGCTCTGGTGTTTCAGAGGCAACAGTGGCATGGGTTCGTGCCCGGGCCCGGACACCTGTGCCCTTAAGCAAGGCACTTGACCATTATTGCTTCGTCCTTCGGATGGGACGTTAAGCCGGAGGTCCCGTGTGTTGTATAAGGCCTAACGCACGTAAAAGAACCCAGTAACACTTATCGCTAAGAGAAGGGGTTTGCCCCGGTGTTTCTGGCCTCCTAGCTATACTCCCTTGTGGAAGTCCTTAGGACAAGAACCAACCAAGTACCAAGTACCTCAGATGTAATTAATAAAGGACATAAACCTTACTCAAAGTGAAGATGGGACTGGTATCAAATACCCGGTGAAATTATTCCGCATGAAATGGTTTTGTTTTGAAGAACACAATCACAGAAAGTGGCTTCAAAACAAGCTCGATCGGAAATATCTCGGAAGCTGCGGGAGAACGAATTCGTGTTCATGCATGAGTCACGTGATTGTGCCATGTAACTTCTGGAAGGAGTAGTGTTTTGAGTTAAACAAAAATAAATCAGTTTTTGACCCCAGTGACCCCACGATGACCTTTGACCCCAGTTTGGTCATGTGACATGTAGAGGCTGGGCTACCGATACTTTTAACAAAGTTGGGTTGAAATCGGTCAAAATATGTAGGAGCAATAGACAATGTCAACGTTTGTTAATAACTTTCAAATGGAATAACAGAGAGACGTGATGATTTGTTGAGCTGCTATCCAACAGCTAAAAATGGTGTCCACGCGCACAGGTGCCAGTCGACAGTTTTTGCTCAAATATCTCTCTCGGAGATTTTTCCCAAGGCCCCAACTCTTCATTTGTAACTGTTAAGGAGGTACTTGTACACAATGTCTATAGCTTTCCAATTCCTGTTATTCTTTAGTTAGTTTCCTCGCTGTAGCTGGCTGCTATGCCCGTCCTGCCTTCTACTACTTTGCTGACGGGCGTCTGGCCAAGCTGCTGCTCCAGGCCTTGCCATGACCTGCCTGCTAGGAATTCACCTGTAGAGATGGGAAAGTAAAAAGGGAGTTAAAAACTGATGCACCTTTAACAGGATTTTTTGGGGGAAAGTATTTCAAAGAGTTTGTTCACGAATGTAGGGCTTGCACTGTCCGGTGTGCATACGATATGTGCTGTACTGTTGTGGAGTGCCATGGCCTCTTGGTCTAGGGCATTGCGTTCGTGGTCTGTGGGTAATTCTGCAGGTTGTGGGTTCGAGTCCAGCCTGGGGTTATGGTGCGTGTGCCCTTGGGCAAGGCACTTTGTCACTCATTGCTTCTCCCCACCCAGGAGTGAATGGACACCTGCGAGGGCAGAGATGGTTATTGTGGTTGATTTAAGCTGAAATGGCTGCTTGAGTTGTATAAACTGAGATTGTCTTTGGAATGTTTCACTGGCCCAATGAGTAGGGTAATAATGATGTAGCGCATTGAGCACCAATAATGGTGGATGTATGTGCGCTTTATAAATATGCATTATTATTATTGTACTGGAAGTGCAATCATATGGCAACAGGCGAGATATAGGGCCTTTAAGATTCGTGATAATTGTCTGACCTTTTTTAAAACTACCATTATCACTTACTCGCATTAGCATGTACCGTGCCCACTGTCGTTGTTTCGTCCCGCCTGACTAAGACCTTGGATGCCGTCGTCTCAGATGACTCCTGTGTTTTCCCTAAGGACCTCAATTTACCCGTCACCAAGGAGACGTCTGTTGTTGAGTCCTGTTCCGTCGTGTCATCGGCAGGAAGCTCTACGTGCTTGGCTGCTCCTGTTTGGGGTCATAGAAGGGTGGAAACAGAGTGAGATTGCAAGAATGGAAAAACAATGGTCATCAACAGATTTGATTTTTGCGGCAGCCGCAAACACTTTTTGCCGGTTCTAGGAAAAAAAAGGATAGTACAGAAAATATAATTACCTGGTAAAATTTGTCGGAAATCTGTTATGTATTCTCCAGTCCATTCACGCGCTCTGTTGCAAGCGATCTCCATTTCAAACGGCGTGACGACGGGCTTGTAAAACTCCTGCGAATCAATGAGGCTGTTCTCCGGACACGAGACCAGCACGTAGATGTCCACCTCCATGAAGTTAGCGAGCTTGGCCACGTTGAGTTTACCCACCACGAACGTGTAGGTTTTCTTTCCGGCCTTCTTCAGGAGGGTTTTCAATCGGTCGATGACGGCTAGGTAGTCCTTCACGCCGAGCGTGCCCGCGACGATCCCGACAACGTTGGCGTCTCGCGCCCTCTCTATTAGGTAGTACCGCTTCATGAGTTGACGGTTGACGTTCAGAGTCTCTCGTAGGCCCTGCCGATGCTCGGGGTCGTAGGTGAAAAATGGACACCGGTTGTAGGTCATCATGAGATTGGTGAGTGTCGAAGTCGGGGCACCGACATAAAACACCGCGTAGTCCTCGAGCGCGTGCTGGCGCCCAATTGTGAACCGGCGCCCAAATTGGAAGTACGTGTTTGAGTTGGTCAGTAAGGCTAAATCAATGTCCGTTCCATCATCATCGTTACCATTACTAGTCCTACTGTCGGTTAAATTATTTCTCTCAAAATCGACTCCGGGATCCAGGATTCTTGATAGGACAACCGACAGTAGGGTTTCTGTTAGCCTCTTTGTGAGGGAATCTGAGAAAACAGAATGAAACAGGATTACATTTCATCCATGGGTCGTCTAAATTTCACTTTGCCTTATATCAGTTACTGAAATAGATATTGCTATATCATGGGTCACTTCAATATTAACTCGCCCACCTATGACACTGACCAGACTGTCAGTCCGTCAGTCAGGCATTATGAACCAGCTGACAAAATTCTCCACAATTTTCATGAGGCAAAGACATGGACCTCAGTATTTCACCAGCCAAGTTTGAAGTCTCAATTCAATTTTAAAGGAGACATTTCTTCAACATTTTGCACCTGAGAGTGAAGCCAAGTGATTTCAATTTGAAGCCTAAGACTAGACTGGTACATGTCCAACTGTTTGAAAAGATTGACCCTTCAGTAGTCTGGTGGCAGGACTATAGAGAATGTGTAGAAATAAAGCTAGGTACTAGATCTCTCTTGACACAGGTGATTGATGCAGTATTAAAGGGGTGTTGGACTGGTTGTTTCATTTGCCAGTCTATTTTCTTGTGTTGCATGTTTTTACCACCTTAATTTTTGGGACTCTCACAAACAGTATTGAGAGTCCCAAATTTTCGGACTGATTATGATCATACCTATACAATGCGCGTACACTACATCGTACATGACTATGACTGGCTGGGAACCGTCGGCGAAGAATTCCTGGAAGATTTGGCAGCAGTGGTCTTCATCAATGGGTCGCTGGCCGAAGATGTAGAGGACAGGAAGGCGCGACGTCGGGCTGAGGCAGGCCCGGCCGAAATGGATGATGCTGTCTGCATTGGCATGCTGGGCGGCTATCTCATCCACACAACAGCTGTAAACATGAAGTCAGATTTCACTCAATTTACAAACGGGAATATTAGTGTGGTGGAGCAGTTTTACATGTCTGGTTTAAAACTGGTTAAAGATTGGTTGCTGAAATTTTAACTGCAGTATTTTACTCTCTTAATTAAGCCATGCTTTGTTCCTCTTAGACAAGTTTGACTTAAAGGTACTATACAACACTTGCAAACATCAAAAAACAGAATTACCAATTTATTATGAAATACCTTACTTGACTGTAAGTGAATAATAGTCTCAAGCATCCTGTGAAATCATGGCACCTGGCATGCTGTCGTTGTGTCAAGAAAAGTGGAATTTTTGTATCAATTTCCAAAGATTGTCAGCTGACCATCGTTGGAAAAAACTGATTTTTTTTTTCAAAGACTGTCCCAATTAACCAAATTTAGTTAGTCCACATTTTGTTTTCAATCGGTTGCACATTTGTGAATGGGTGCAAGCCAGCTAGTCTGGTTCCCTGACTTAACAATTACCCGACGTCTATACATGTTTCCCCAATGTCTATGCTTTGTTTCATCTGAAGTAGGGTCAGGGAACCAAACTACAAGAACAACATTTTTTTTCAACCATCTATGAACACACAACTTTCTACGGGTCAGTGTAACAATATTTGCTATATAGTGTGAACCTTCCATATGAAGTGTCAGCGAGAATGAAGACCAGAGCATCTGTTTCCTGCTGAAGAAACTTGACGATTGACGTGGAGTCCAGTAGGAGCTCATCGGGAAACTGCAATGCAACCTAAACAAATAATTGTCAAGGTTGTTATCGCTACATTCATGTGTAGGTTGTATGTTATGCTCTGGTGTGGTTTTGTTTTCAACACAGTTATTCACTTTTAAAGGAGAAATTATACCCCAAAAAATCCAACCGTCTTTGGTATTTACTTTACAAATATCAAATTATTTGGGACCCATCAATAATTCAGGCAGTTCTTTTTGAGGTATTTTCAGAGGGTGGAGGGTTGAAAGCATCCAAAATATATTTTTTTTAAAAGAGCTTTTTCTTTTTAAATAAATGGAACTTTTGTGAGGAAAAAGAATTAAATTTATGTTGAGGAACACAGATGGAGCAACATCAATACAAGAATATCAAGATTATAATAAAAAAATATCAACTGTGTAAATATAAACTGTTTGATCAACAATTCTGCAATTTTCGTCATACCTTTATGAAGACATTTTTCCTGATGAATTCTACACAGCGGGGTATCTCATATACAGAATACAGATCTGTCTCTGACGATGCCTTTGCAATGTTGACCTCTATTGACCTCTGAATGACCTCTGACCCATCAGGACTGAATGCTGTTGCCATTGTCTGTAATTAGCGTAAACAAGTTATCAAAGATAAAGGAAAGAATGTTGCATCCTGAGGCCACTTCAGCAGTTGTGTACAAAGGCAATCCTGTACAAAGTCTATGGAGAGTCAAGAAAATTTTCCAAGTAGGGCCTAGCCTAGGCTAGGCCTAGGGGCCTACAACTTTATGACAATGTACATTTCATGGATTCATGTTTTTTCAACATTTCTGCAATGACCGACATGACTGACCTGAATTGAGATGATATATGAAGAGAAAAAGTGGCGTCAGGTTGCAACATTCTTTCCAAAATAAAATTTCTTAATTAATAACCTAGAGGCAGAGCGCTCCTACTTTCTAGAAGTAGGGCGCCCCCAACCAAGTCTCGCAAAGAAGTGCGCGTGTAAAGCTTGAAAGTGAAACGAGCTGCTGACAGTGACACGTAACGAGTGCCACGAACAGACAAGAAAACTCACCATTTTACCTACTAAATTAATATCAGACGGTAGAAAAATTCTGATTGCCCCAACTGATAACTTAAGAGAAAAAATCTTACTTGTTCTTGATTTTTTTTAATCAAAATATCCTCACAGTCACACGACACACTTTATTTTGGTCAGATGGACGCTGCCATTTTGAATCGCAAAGGTTTATGGGAGATTCTGCGCGTGCGCACATCTACCCAACCGTCGATTCAGGCGCCGTTTTTGACTCCTGCAGTTTTGTGCTGCGAGCATTGTCGCCTTCAAAACATCGGATTTTTCATCATTTTTATGGCATAAAGTGAAGTTTCAACATGTACATCAAGGAGATTGTCATAGATGGGTTTAAATCCTACGCCCAGAGGACTGAAATCAAAGGATTTGACCCGCTTTTTAATGCCATTACCGGCCTGAATGGATCGGGAAAATCCAATATTTTGGACTCCATTTGCTTTCTGCTGGGGATCTCCAATTTAACACAGGTAACATGGCGGGGTTGGCCGGCCTATTTAATTTCTGCTTTTTTTCTGAAAAGGTAATTGTGCTTATAATCGCTGTCAAGAATAAAAACACAATGTTTACATAGGCACAAACCGATATAAATTATAAACAATAAAATTAGACCTATTTTAATTCATCACCACTCAGACATGTCACTGTCAGACATCAATTTTTCATTTTGCAGAATTTTGTTCGGCAATGAGCAGTGGCAATGCACAGTCCGGAAAAATTCTGCCAACCGGACACCACTTTTTTCAATTAATTTTCTAGCGCCAAAAGTTACCTCTTTTATGGTTATTCCCTCCACTTTCCCTCCTCTACTCTCACCCCCTCCTTTCCTTAATTTTTATTTATCAATCAGTCCCTCACTTCATCGAGATTCGAACCTCGGACGCTTGCTTGATACACGAGTCTCTTAAACCGCTAGGCCGCACACGATCGCTGTTGCAATGATCAATCTTTGGACGTATTTGAAGTATCCATTGAAATAAACTAAATATTCATGAGAAAATAAATATTCATAATGACGTATGGAACTATCATTGGCCGGCTCATGCGACATCTCAAGAGACGTCATGGTTATCGATGTCATGCGTATAACGTACCGCTGTTCCAGACACTTCAATCAGTTTTGACCGGCTGCTTCAACTCAGATCTGCACTACATGTGCATGCAAAATGTGCTCCAAAAACACATTTTTACCAATTTTTTTTCGCATGTCCACTCTTTCCTGGATTCCTCTTGGTTGAAATCACACGGTAAGGTGAAAATTTGGATGTTTGGCGGCAGGTAAGTGGTGTCCGGTTGGCAGAAATTTCAATGAAGAAATTTATCAGATTTGTTTAAGTGTTAAGTAGGGGGCCTAGGTCTGTTTTACATGGTAAAATCTGAACTTTGCTCACCATTCCAACAAAGATGTATTTGAACATGTTGAATATTTTTTTCAGATGGTCGTGTATCTGGAACCCGTAAACGCTTAAATTAGCGCAATATGTAAGGGAGCAGACTAATGACCGATGACCAGCCTTGCAGCACAGGCACTATGTCAATGTCGCTGTATGGTCTGACGTTACCCTTTTCTCTGATTTTGTCTTGACTATCCAAATTTCCCAAAGAATGTTCGTGTCGGTCAAGATCGTAAGTGGGTGCAGAATTATCAAGCCTTGTCATGCTTATGGCCTTACTGGGGTCACCTCAAGCTCCACCCAGAAGAATATTTTTGAGAGTTTTAAGGAGATCAAAGCATCATCTGCAACATCAGCCGACATTTGAAGAAATAAAAAGTAGGGGGGGGGGGGGGGAAATGCGTCGCCGCACCGCTTTTGGGGCAAACCCCATACCATTACCAGAAACTGGAGACTTTTTTTTTTGGGCCTAAGGAAATAATCTCAGGTACATGTATAATACATGTACAGTGTACCTGAGATTATTTCCTTACAAGAAAATGGGCAAAGTAAAATGTTTTGGCATTTGAATAATCTGAATTGCCATATTCGCCGAAAGATTTCTATAAGACAGTTGCGGATCACCCATGCATGGTATGCAGTCTGCAGGCATGATACATAAGAAGCGCTGAGCACGCCTTCAAGTTATGAATTATACAATGTATGTATGAACGAGAAAATGGGGAAATTTTACTACGAAATGATGTTACTTGGACACGGAAACTCCGCACATGAGCGGGTGTACAGCAGTTTGTATAAAAAGTGATCCGGAACCGTGGCACTCACTATACATTCAAATATATAAAGGCCCTCACAAGTTTTTTCTTCTTTAAACAGGATAAACAAGGTTACAATTGTATCATGAAATAGGCCTACTGTATGCAAACCTGTAATGTTCCGGTCTTTTACTTTTTTTGCTTTGTGGAGGAATACAAAATAACAACAATGAAAAATTCTTTTGCATGTTTATTGGTTGTTAGTTCACATGAAGGTTTCAGTTCAATTGACAAAGTTGCAAACTTTGAATCAATCATATGTAAAGTTTTTGGATTTTGGATATGTGCATTTTTATTTCAAATGACAGTAACCCTCCTATGCAAACACACATTCTGTGCCAAGTAATCCTATCAGTCAAAATCAAACAAGTGACTGTTTTCAACAGTTAAGAATTCCCAGCCTACAAAAGCAGGATTGACTGGCTGGGACTGGTTAAGTAACTTGATGCAGCTATGCTTTGACTCCTAGTGAACGATAAAACAGCTGTGACCACAACTTGCCTGCTTTGTCTGTTGACCCAGTTTGACTAGTCACAGTGCTTGCTTGCCATGTGATCTGACTGCTGGTGACCAGCCTGTGTTAAAAGTATAGCAGGGGAAGTGGAAGTGAATTTTGACTGTCTGTGACTGTTTAAATAACAGGAGGGTTACTAAAGAGCAGTCCTCAACCTGTTACAATTTCTGTATATAAATTATTATGATTCATTATTTTTTTTCAAAGCAAAACAAACTGAATTTTTTTTTTATAAAAATGCTGCGAATATACTGGTAAATTTATGAAAATTTTGGGTTGCTCTTCTCATTTTCTTTCCACACTTACATTGAATCACTCAGGTCCGTGCCGGCAGTCTACAAGAGCTTGTGTACAAAGGCGGCCAGGCTGGTGTTACCAAGGCAACCGTTACCATCACTTTTGATAATCGGGACAAGAAGCAGAGTCCGTTGGGATATGAGACGTTTGATGAAATCACCGTCTCTAGACAGGTAGGTCTAATCAGGCAATTTCACCCAGAATGGTCAAAGATGCGAAGATTTATTTGCATTAACCCTAACCGCCCTGAATCCTTCAAAAACTTCTTTGCCAAAGTGGAGGAATTTGCAGGATTGAGGTTACTTTGCAAGAGTGCGTTGCTGATTTCAGAGGAAGCACTGTGTCAAGGTCTTGGGCCGGACCTTGTGTTGTTTATGCTCAGCCTAGCATAAATTTAGTCCTTGATTTATACTTGAAATCCTCCGCACTGCTCCAGGATGTCACTGCCTCTGCCTCAGCCTATTGACAGTCATAGCCGGAGGATTTTGCAGGATTCAGGCAGTGGTCACCTCTCCACGGACCATATTCAGGAAATAATGAAGGAATTTGCAGGATTGAGGCTATATGCTATTTTTCCGTGAGGCCAAATTGAGGATTTTGCAGGATCGAGGCTACATCCTAGCAAAAAGGCCTAGGGAGTTGGGGTTAAAAAAGTTAAAGGCATAGTATTATTTGCATTTATCCCAAAAGTAACTAACCAAATTATTATCAAAAACTTACTTAGATTCATGATCGTACTGGTACTAAACACCCCGTGAAATTATTCCATCTGGCTTGCTGTCAGTTAGAAGAAATCAAGAAATGTAGGTGATTTCCAACGATCAGTCAGTTGACTGATTTTTTTGGAATAAAGAGTGTTATTGATGAAATCATGTTTTGTGATCAAGAGATTGTGCATGGTGTTTCGCTGTTTCCTCGAAAAGTGTAATATCCGCTGAGCTGAACTACAACAGGTTAGGTTTTGAACTTTCTTCTTTGGATTTTGAGTGGTGTTATCATTGGAAACGAACAGAATGCATGAAAAGCAAATATCCTTTGCCTTTTTTAAAGAACAATATCTAAATTTTATAAATTATCTAATTTCTTCTTGTCTGGGGATTTCAGTTTTTCTGTTGTGTACATTTTGTCACCATTTGATGTTCTCGTAAAAAGGGCAAACAGTTTCAAAATAAAGGTCATAGTTTTGTTCATTTAATGGATAGATTTTTGGTGAAGTGAAAGAATTGCTATTATCATCTGATATTAGGGTACTTTGACTCCAAACAATTCCAAGTTATGAAATTGAAATATATTGAAAGTTTTGTAAAATTGTTTTTTTTTTTTTTTTTTTGGGTGCTGAGGTTTTGAAACTAGCAGAATCAAAGAACTTTTTCCTTTGCAGAAGAATACTACTCAAATTGAATCATCAATTTCATCAGCTTATTATTTCTTAATAAATTATAACAAAATTTGAATAATTATCGCCACAGGTTGTGATTGGTGGTCGTAACAAGTACCTGATCAACGGCAGCAATGCTAACAACAGCAGGGTCCAGGATCTCTTCTGCTCCGTCCAGCTCAACGTCAATAATCCCCACTTCCTCATCATGCAGGGACGCATCACCAAAGTGCTAAACATGAAGCCCCCAGAGGTTTGTGTATTTTACCCATTTAAAAAAATATTATGTTGGCTTTTCATAAACTTTGTAATGATAGTAGACTCCATTCATTAGCAGAAGATGGTGCTTTGTCATCACTCAGTGCCAAATCTGGTCACTCCACCGTCAATTACCAACCGTTATTGCAACTAAGTTGAAAGGTGCATGAAATCGATGTTTCTTTAGAAACATATTCTGTACAACTTTCTACTTCTCCTCAGATGTATGAAAAATATTTGACATCCCTTTTTCGGTTAATTTTTTTGGAACTTTATAAAAACATTTAAAATTGTCCATGCTTTTCCAGACAACTGAGGACACTGTTGCTTGTGATGTCATTTCAGGAAGACACTACTCAATTTAGGGATTTTCTGTTCAAATTGTAAACCCAAAAATGTGCCAATTGAAAACATTTTGTGAGAAAAGTTTGCTCATTGGCTTAGGCCAAAAAAAATAGTTCTGCTTCCGATTACATTTTTTGGGGG